CTCGGATTGTTCATTTTGAATGCTGAAACTGGACAAATGTTAATGCAGATCTTATTGTGAACTTGGATCGAGTGACCAATCTTTAATCGAAAAAATATCCGGCGATTGTCAATAGAAAAGGCATAATTCTGCAACACGACATTGCAAGACCGCATTGTGCAAGACGGACTCTTAAAAAAATGAATGAATTGGGTTGGGAGGTGCTGCATCACCCACCATACTTGCCCGATATCGTTCACTCGGATTTCCATTTATTCCGATCGCTACAACATTTTCTCAGTGCAAAAAAATTTGAAAATTTGAATGATTTCCAAAATGCCATCTTGAGGTATTTGACTCAAAAACCAATTGATTTATATCGGTCCGGGGATTGAAAATGTAGATGGCAAAAGTGTGATTACATTATTGATTAAAAATAAAAACGTGTTAAAATTTATTCGTGTGAATTTAATGTAAGAAAGCGACATTACTTTTCGGTCCCCCTATTAGTTTCACGTAGTTATTACTTATCTTGGGATTCAATATTTCAGAAATAATAAAAATGTTCAACATGGTAAGAATGGAAGGTGAAGATTTCACAGTTATAGCATACATTCCTTTCATGTTCGCATTTATGCAACATTTTCAAGGGAATTCAACATTTGGAAAATAATAAAAATATTCCATATGGTACGTCTTGTGAAAGGTGATTGAATTAATATGAATTATAGTATTGTAGGTTTTACTTTATTCCAACCAGTTATTTTTAGTTTGACTTTCCAGTTTATCCTGATTTCAGTTTCCTGTCGGAATGTAATTTTTTTATGACGTAGATGAAAATTCTCAACGTGTTTCAGAAGCAGTATTTAAACTGAGTTTCAGGAATTCAAAAGTAGTCCCTGCTCATAGTTAATAAATCTCATCAAAACACTAGATATTAGACTAAATACTGTGTTTTAAATGGGAAAGTATTAGGACTTTTGTTTTGAATTCTCCAAAGCGGGAATAGGACTTTGTTGTACCTTACTTCAATCCACATTATTACTCTCAAAGCATTTTCATTATTATAGTATTAACGCATTTAAACTTGGCAAATAATTTTCAAGTCCTCATTGCAAGAATACAATTTCTTGATATATAATTTACTTCATCTATATTTATTAAGATTCAACTTTATTATGCATTTTCCATGTAGTAAATAATATTTTCATGTTTGTTTTATTTAGATCAGTGTGGTTCAACCTTTAGTTACCCGAGGGCCAATCAAAAGTTAGTATAGGAGAGTGAGGGCCAGAGACATTAAAGAAAGAAATGAATTACATATAAATCACTAGTTTAATAGATCACTTTAGTTTACAGTCTAAAAATGAATGTGATGATTGGCACTGCTTTTAAGATACAAGTTTATCAAGTTCCACTGTAATTCCAGTAAGGAAAAGTCTCAGGCTCGGTTTCAGGGAAACACTTTCAATGCGATTTCTGGTTTAATTTGTTTGAGAGCAGAAAAAACACTTTCACACACATACGTACTGCCAAACAGCGATCACGTTTGCAAATAGAATTTATGCACTTTGGGAAAAGGTTCTTTAGAAATTAGTTTCCAGAAATGTTCAGAGACATCACACTTTTTAGTCTGGTAAAATGGATCTACCTGAAGATAACAAACTTCCATTTGAAAGTCACAAGGCACCTCACTTGCTTAAATATCCATGGGGATTTTTAACAAAGAAAGTTTTGTTTTTAGGGTGCCAAAATCCAGGTATCTGTCATGTAACTCTTTCTTGATATCAGTAATTATTTTATTAAACATGCTACAATCTGTGTCACTTTTCTCTTTCATCTGCTGACAAAATGGGAAGTGTGCCGTATTATTTGCCTTCAGTGAAATTTGCATTAAGATTTTTGCGAAAGCCTTCAATATGTCCATAAAGCTGTGATATATTTTGTTCTCTCCAATATAGTTTCAAGTTTAAAGCATTTAGATGGGATGTTAAATCTGTTAGAAAATCAAGACTATTTTAAAACTGAATTTCTTCCAATATTTCTTGATACTTATGCCCACGGACATGTTTTCGTTTTTGAGGAAAGCAAGAATTTCATTCCTCAACCCAAAAAACTGTTACAAACAATTTCCAGCACTTAGCCAGATCACTTGGCAGTACAATGAAAAGTCACCATTCTCAGCATCCAAATTGTCAACAAATACAGTAAATGCTCTGTGTCTCTGAGCTTTGCCTCCCCTTATTAGATTTACAATATTTGCAACAGTTTTCATTGTCTCACTGAGCCTTATAATTTTTCTACAGAGAGCCTCCTGCTGGATCATGCAGTGAAAAAACAAACAATCCATTCCTTTTTCTTTACACGGGCCTACTAACCCAGTTCTATGACCAACAATTGCTTTAGTTCCATATGTTGCAATCCCAGAGCACTTCCCGAAACCTCCATATTTAGAAACACTATTATCCGGTGTGTTGAATATAGCAATACCTTTTGCGCTAGTTTCTAATGATTTTAATTCCAACAGTTCCTCATGAATTTCAAATCCTTCATTTATTGCTTTGACAAAGATAAGGAGTTGGCTGACGTCAGCTATATCTATGCTGAAATCTAGAGCTAGAGAGTAAAATTCAAGTTTTTTCCAAAATGCCCTTGAGAGTATCTGAAACTTCACTACCTATATCATTGATTCCTTTACTTACTGTCTGATCAGACAAGGGCACTGTTTCAAAATTTCTAGCTATCTTATTAAGTCCAAATGAAGATGCCATTTTACAGCACATCTTTTAATAAACTCATCATCCCTAAAAGACTTTTTACTTTTAGCTAGCCCTAAGCATACCTCATAAGATGCGTTCAAACCAGCAGTGTTTGACGGTTGCTGAAAGATATTTTTCTGTCTAGTCAGTTTCAGCTTCAAATCTTTAAACAAACAACTCCTGTCACTTCCCTGATATTGGTCGTATTTTGATTTACGCAAGTTGGTATAATGTCTACTCACATTATATTCTTTTGCAACACTTGAGAACAGATAACACACTGTGTTTTCCATTATATTCAACAAAAAAGTAATTTCCCTGCCACTTGGACTGAAATTGTCGCTGAATGAAACTGAAAATGGAAGCATGTATGCCATGGAGTATAACGTTCGTAGAAAGAAGCTTATCATCGAAGTCACATGACTATTCTCAACTTCACCCGTGAGACTGCACTGGGATCTACAAACCACCAACAGCTTTCTCTGCGCGATCTCCCCCATAGGCGCACTAAAGGAACTGACTCTTACGAAGATCCATCATTCAAAATTGACTGCTAGCCGAACAGCGTTGCTGTATACTTTCTCCTGGTTACAAATATTTATAGAAGTCCAACCTCTCTTCGGAGTAAGCTCTGGCAATCTTTGTTCCATGTAATATGGATAAGACAACTACAACAACAGAAGGTTAACCCCTTTTCTTTTAGCCTCCATGCTTCCGTTCTCACGATCGTCACCAGCCACAATTCCAGCAAAGTCAAGTGACAATAAAGGCAATATTCCAAGCAAGCCGATAAGATCGCGCTTGCCGATAAATCAGATGTAATTCAGTATTGCTACTGCCTTATTATCGAGGTCGTCGTTATAGGAGAAAGGAAAATTGTAAGGTGATGCTATCATTAGTAACAAAAGAAATTGTCATCTGATGGACAGCTTTGCCAATGTCAGCGGTTTCCCACTAAATCTGCTTTTTTTGTATTTCCTGCAGCACAGGTTCGCCAGCTAGTTAGCATCATAAGCGACTGTTATACACTTCTTGTTTTTCACAAATACAATTTATTCTGTTTATTATTATTTAAACTCGCAGCATAAACATCGGAACAAAGTCCGCTTCTACTACTTTTGAACATCGGATATCGCTGGTGGTTCTTGAGGCATCAACCGTGGAAGTTTTGGCCTCTAGTTGACGCTGCGCTCTGAGGCCTTTGAATAGACATTTGAAATAGAAGAATAAGCGCTTTTGCGTGATTTAGATTAGTATCTAAGACTAAGACTTAAATTAGTATACAACCCGCGGGCCGCACGCTGCCCTCTTATTCATTTTGTTGGCACTTGCTCATCTTACTGGAAAATGAAATGTTAGTTAAACATTTAGGAAAAAACAAAAGACCCTTCTTACTGCTTTAAAATTGGTTCTCTAGTTCGGTGCTTGACACCTTTTAGTTTATACTGATATTTCTCGGCTCGGCTTTGCTGTGTGCAGCCGATTAAACGTTAGTTTAGTTTTATTCTTAAAGACATAGCGAGAATTCGCTACTTAATCTTCAACGTAGGGTCAAAGGTTTATTGTTGAAAATGAATGCCCGCAGACTCTATAGTATATGCTCGTGGAATACTCGTATTCATGCAAAATTTGCATTTTGATTTTGAGGAAAAATATAGAGAACAATTATTGACTCACGCAATCTACGCAGAAGCATTTCTGTTTTGCATCTCTGTTTTAACAGTCAAAGATATTATATTTTGTGTACTATATTTTTGTGCTAATATGAATAATTAAATCTGTTTTTCATGATAAGTTTAAAAAGTCAATGTTAAAAATCTGCTGCTGAATTCAAGTGCTTCTTTTCTTTATTGAAGGAAATAAGTTTACGTGTATATGTAAGGGTGGTAATTTAAGGACATCTTGTGCTACTTTATAAATTTTGTGAATAAATATATTATGAACTTTATTATGGGTACTAATACTGATAAGCAGATAGTTAACTCATTTTAAACTATTCTAAGACTATTTTAAGTTTTGGGAACCTTTTGCTTCATTATTGCTTTATTTATACAAACTAATAACAGTTACTTCATATTTTTAGATATATTGATATTCGCATTTAATGAAGTTACTTACTCTTATCTTAGTCTAGATACTTAATTTTATTCAAACTCGGGCATTTTGTCCATCATATTTATTTCCTTTTTAATTTTATACGCATTTAAATGAAACTTATATGCAAAAATAAATATATAAAAGAAAGGAAACAATACAATTAAATGATGTTGAAACATTTTATTTACAAAATAAACGACAGCACACTATTTAGTAATACAAATACTAAAACAAGGTAATGATGTTAAAAGAAAAATTAATTTTCTAAAATGCGAGTGCAATTTAATTGCTGAATATCATAATTATTGCCCTGTATTCTTACACCCTTACAAAACTTATGATAAAAATTTACAAAACAATCATTTAAAACATCCCTAAATATTTACAGTGTTACACAGAAGAGAAAAGTGATGCTATTGCCTTGGTTTTCATCTGCAATACAGTTAGCTGTAAGCGGAATAAATTACCTTTGAGACCTAAAGTGTGCTATAATGCCTCTACTAGGGAAAAAAGGTAAAACTTAACTCACACTACATTCCGTTCAGTTCTGAGTTTGAGCGTCAGTTCTATACATGGCAGGAAAATATACTTTATCTCATGGTCATAACTTTTCAGTGTAAACAAGGTTAGCATTTTATGTACATAATGATTTCTCTAAAGCATAGGAACGAAAATAATTCAATTCATTGCTTGTAATGCTTGGAATCTTTCTACAAACGCAGTATTTCTTTTATAATAACGTAAACTACCTGGATGACGGAAGTTTTTGTTGGTTCTGGTTCTGCACTGGCTGTTTCCACACAGCTGTGCCTTTAACACCAGTTGGTTTGGCAGATTTGAGAGCTTGAATAACCGATTCAATATCCTTTTTCATACCGTCTTCTCCTTTAGGAGCCTTTTTGCCTGCAGCAGTATAGTCAATAATAATAACTTGTTTTCCTTTTCTGCTGTCAGATGCAGCAGGCTGAGGCCAGTTTTCCCCAGAATTCCTTTTTGTTCCAAAAACAAACACCATCTTGCTGCCACTCTTTTTACTTCCTTTAGGAATTCTACCCGATCGTTGGGTGGGAGTTTTAGCAGATCCTGCTCCATTTCCTTTCGTAGGTTTCCAGCTGGTGAACACAGTACTCTTATCACCCATCCATCCGCCAAATCCTCCCCCAGATCCCATCCATCCATCCATCCAACGCCAGCCTTCGTTTCCTCCATTTGGATTCCACTGCCAGCCACTACTACCCGCTCTATTCATTTTCCATCCATTGTTAGGCCTACCATTCTTCGGTTTATTGCCATTACCATTTTTAGATCGTCTAACATTAGCTCCATTTCCATTAGCTGACCAGGGCTTTGATGGAGCCGGTGGTGCTGCCGCTGGTGCTGCCGCATCGGGAGTTTTTATTAGAATTATATAAGGTACAGTTTGTCCTCCTCCACCATTACCAGACCAGGTTCCTGTTCCGGCTGCTTTATTTTTGTTACTTTGCCATCTTCCTCCTCCGTTAGAAGCCGGAGGAGGTGATTTAGGAGGTGGGCCTTTATTCCAGCTTGCCGGTGCTTGTCCTTGAGAGCGCCAAGAACCTCCAGAATTGCCATTATTCCAAGAACCTCCAGAGGCACCCGTTTTCCTAGAACGACCTGCCTTATTATTTTGAGCCCAGTTACCATTCGCTCTGTTCTTACCTCCACCATTTCTCCATCTTCCTTTCGTCCGTCCTTTACGCGTTCCTCCTCCATTCGCCCACCCACCGCCTGCTTGAGCAGTACCGCCATTTTGCCAAGAACTTTGTGGTGGGCTATTTCCATTCTTCCAACTTCCTCCTGAATTTTGAGAGCTGGCTCCACCATTTTGCCAACCACCTCCAGCCTGAGAGGTAGGATTTGCATATTTCCATCCTCCTCTTGTTTGGGGAGCTTGATTTTGCCATCTTCCACCGGATTGCGGAGCTGCATTCTTCCATCCATTTGTTGGCCCTCCATTTTTCTGAGGCCATCTATTTTGAGATGGTGTTCCCCCCGTTTGCCAGCTGCCACCACCATTTGTCTGAGAAGGAATGCTAATTCCTTGTTGCCAGTCATTTCCTGTAGGAGGAGATGCCCCTCCAACTTGCCACCCTGTATTATCTGTTTGTGAAGTTCCGTCATCACCATTCTGCCAAGAACTTGTAACTGGTTGCTGTGCATTATTTGGCCATCCTGCTGCAGTTTGCCATGGCCCACCATTATTCCAAGAGGTAGATCCACCAGTAGTTGACACAGGAGGAGCACCACCATTGGGACTCCAGCTACCTTGTCCTGTATCTGCTGATTTTATACCCATTGTGTCCTTCCACCATTGATTATTATCACCTACAGTCCACACTTCAGGTTCAGCTCCATTGCCTCCATATACTCTAGCTTCTCCCTTTCCGTCTTCTGAAAATTTCCACACAATATATCTGCCCTGTTTGTCATCATCCCATCCTCCTGTTGGTGCCTGTGTTGTTGCTGCAATATCGGAAGACGTAGTATTAGAGTTATCCGATAATGTGTAATTGTTTCCGTTTTCTGTTGCAGGAGCTGTAGTGTTACTTTGCTTTGGTAAATCATCTGCACTAGTCACTCTCCATTCACCATTGATATTTTCGATCTTCCATTCAACATTACCCTTTTCATCCACCAATTTCCACCCATCAGCACCACCATCTCCAATAACTTTCCAGCCAGAATTGTCGTCTAAATTCTCCATAGTTTTTGTGTCCTCATTGTAAACTTTCCATGACAAACCTGCATCTTCCCATCCAACTGTAGAACTTCCTCCTCCATTCCATCCATCTGCATTAGTTTGGCCATTATCCCAAGAACCTCCTCCTCCCGTTGGAGGCCCACTGTTCCAGCTTCCTGAGTTTCCGGGTATAGGAGATGCTCCTGCCCATTTGCCAGAATTAGGGGGCCAGCCGGCATTTCCCTGTGGTTGCGTTGTCTGTGGAGCCCAACCACCTCCTCCTTGCTGTGGTGCAGCCCATCCTCCACCACCATTGTTAGCTACCGGTTGGCCTGGGGCACCATTCCATCCGTTTTGAGCTGTGTTAGATTGAGGTGCCCAACCAGTTTGAGGTGGACCATTATTATTTGATGCCGACGGGGGAGCGTTATTCCATCCACCGACGTTTCCGTTTGGTCCATTCCATCCCCCATTAGACCCACTGTTCCAGCCAGGCGCAGCACCGTCATCAGGTGTAGGTCCGTCATCTTCATCCCATCCAGCTTGTGCATCTCCTTCGTTTGGAGTCTGATCTTCCACCCACCCACCAGCATTCCATGCTCCTGGCCCGACATTTGCATCTGGTCCTGCATCACCTGGTGCCCATCCTCCACCGATAGGAGCAGCTCCCCCTGCTGGCCAGCCGTCTGAACCACCACCTATATAATATGAATTAAATTACTAGAAAGAACAGCAAAATGTGCCCAACTATTCTTAACATTGTGAAATATTGCAATTTCGCTATTTAATTGATTCGTATTTAGACTACCCGGAAAGAAAAATAAATATCACTAAAGAAAGCAATCTTCTTAGATCTCTGTCTTTTTCTGTTTCCTTTTCTTTCTTTTTTTTTTTTTTTTTGCTTGATTGCTGTTGTGACTGTTGATTTGCCATTAGGCAGCGCTGAAGTGCATCATTAATTTTTGCATACTTCATTTTGCATATTTTTTGTGGCAACCATGTTGCACTTTGTTTCTAGAACCGACCGAGTCGATAATTATAATTTTGAACTGTCGTTTTGAAAATAATTTAAAATAGCTAATATGTTATAAATAAACTATATAAATAGTTAGTTCGAGTGCTCATTTATTCACATATTGAAGTGATTTTCATGAACCGTGTTTATGGTAAGAATTATGAGAATAACCTGCTTTGAAAAGCAAATGGTGCTTCATTTTTTGGCTACAAGCGGCAGCCTATTTGAATTGAAAGTTCGGAACATAAAATTTATTATGTAAGAGGGGGTGCAAGCCAACATCTTCCAATTGGAATTTCTGCATTTTCAAATTCTCTACAATTCTAGCTTTCTAAAAATACCATACCTTAATTTTCATGAAAATTAGAACTGTGAAAAATCTAGTTTTAATTTATTATCGAACTCTTTGATCAATGAGTATTTTTACATGAAAATGCGTCTTTCTCCGCATGTCAGGAACTACTGCTCACACGAATGTGAAATTTTTTATGGATGATTTATTATGTTTCCTAATATTTACTGAAATGAGCTTTTTGTTATAAACTAAGGGGGGAAAATTCACAATTTTTTTGGTGAGAAAAGTGCTAAATTTTACTATACCTAATACAATAATTACGCTACAAATTACTCTAAAACTAAAAAATCTTTCAAAAGGTCATTTTAGTATAATCAGATAGGTGTACTTACACAAAAAAATTCAATCGTGTATCTACAGCGGATTTTGAGAAAAGGTTTATCGAAAATGACCAATTTAACATTGCCGGTATAGGGGGTTCCAGCTCCCTTATGCTTATTTATAACTTGATATATTTTTATATATAGCATAATTTTAATGGATAGTCTTGATAAACTGAAGCGGAAACGCGCAGTTTTGTGTGCCGCTCCTTCAAAAAATGTTAACAAAAAGTAAGCTAGTTAAACGAAAATATCTGAAATGACGCATGAAAAAAAAAATTAATCAGTTAAGTGTTCTCAAAGAGCAATTACTTGAGAAGTATGATGGTCTTAAACAACTGAATTGTGAAATCGAAAGTGAACCTTCTGTTTCTCAATGTGATATAAAAAAACTCAGATTTATTTGAAGTTATATTAACATGCTGCGTAAAAATATCATACGATTTAAAGTCGAAATTTGCCTTGTGTTTTTTTGACAGTGGTAGTCAACGGACATTTATTAAGAAATAATTAACGCCATACATGAAACCCGCAGTTCTAAGAAAGGAAAAATTACTAGTATATTCTTTCAGCGCGCTTAAGCAAAATAAAAAAAAATATGGTGTTGTTAAGTTTGCATAACACAACGTGAAAATCCCCGAGCGAAATATTTTCATTGAGGCGTTGTTGACAGATATATTTTCTACTGTGATGATTTATCCGATAAAACTAAACGCAGATGTCAAAAGCGAATTAAAAAAATACGAGTTGTCTAATTGGAATACTCTGTGCGGTTTTCCAGTACAGTTATTGATAGGCGCCGTTCCTCTCTGGCAAATAAACAAACCAAGGACAGTAGAAAAAATAACAAAATCACTTTTTGTACGCGAAAGCCGAAAGCTTATTTGGATGGTCTCTCTGTGGTTCCATACATATTGACGAAAAGGGAAAAATTAAAAATGCGTCCATTTTCACATTAGCTGTTCAGAATGCAGAAGAGAAAGATTTAAAGAAATTATGGGACCTTGATGAAATTGGTATTAGTGATGATGAGTTTTCGAAAATAGATAGAGAAATTAATAAATTTGAAAAACGATTTAAAATTTGTTAATAGAAGGTATGAAGCTAAATGGTTGTGGAAGGACAGTAAGGAAGGACCTACTTCAAACTAGCCAAGAATCGTTTCTTTGAATTAAATTCTTTCTTCGATTTAATTCAAACTGAAAGAAATTGCTATTGAACAAAAGGGTAATAATGTAGTGGAAGAATGTTCAGATAAGGACATTGAGAATGGTCATTTAATGCCGCATAAACTTATTAAGAGGATTGACAAATCCACCACTAAAGAGAGGATGGTCTTTGATGTTTCTTCAAAAGAAAATTAGTTTAAATCTTTAAATGATTGTTTATGGTCAGGACGAAACATTTTAGATGTTATTATCAGCTCTGAAAAAATGAAGTCATATTTTGCGCGGATCTGCAGAAGGCTTTTCTCCAAATTGGCTTAATACCAGAATACCGAAATTATTTAAAATTTTTGTGGTTTGATGATATAGCAGTTGACTTATTCAAAATTCTAAGATTTACGTGAGTACCTTTCGGTGTCACTTGTAGCCCCTCCATTTTAGCTGATACTATGAAATATCATTAATAAGAAAGAGGATTATAAAGCTAATCAAATGTTGGACACATCCTTGTATGTTGATAATTTAATGTTCAAATTCTGATGAAGACGAGTACTCTTTATCTTCTGCTGCCGCTAAAATTCTTAAAGATGCTGGAATGCATTTAAGAATAATTCTTATTCTATAAAACTAAGAAAAATGTGGAAAGAAAATATGTCATGTAGTGAACAAGAAACTCCGGTTTAGAAATATTTTGGAATACCGATTCTGATACTTTGCAACTGGATGCTCAGCCTCTTAGATAACCTAGAGAGTGTCAAACCTATAAAGCGTTGTGTTTTGAAGACTATGCTAAAACTATATGATCCTGTAGGGTTTATATGCCATTCACCATACAAATTAAAAGCTTATTATTACAAGAAATTTGGAAAAGATTTTATCCTGGGATGATGAGTTATCCCTAAATTTGGAAAATGAATGGAAAGGTTGGTGCTCTGAAACGGAACATCTTAAGAGATTACAGATACCTAGAAAATATTTCCAACAAGGAATGAATTCGATATAAGATCAGGTACAAATCCATGTTTTCTGTGATGCTAGTCCTAAGGCATTTAGTGCAATAGCCTATTTGGGGTACTTCACTAAAGATAATGCAATTAAAACAAATGTCATCTCTGAAAAAAGTAGAGTGTCTCCTATAAAACGAGTTATGCTTCCCCGATTAGAAATAATGGATGCCGTACTTGCTGTGAAGATGCCTAAAACTTTAAAGATGGCACCAGACTTTTAAATACGAAGATAAAGTTGTGGACAGTTTCCACAATAACGCTTCATTGGATAAAAGGATCTGCTGTGCATAGAAGCCCATTGTTTCCAACAGAGAAATTTAATCCTTTACAGGTCCTGAAAATTGGAACTATTATAGTAGAAAAGAAAATCCTGCTGATTTAGTGACGCAAGGTGAAAAGTTGATAGCGCTTATAAGAAATAACGTCTGGTGGCAAGGTCCAGTTTGGTTATCCCTTTACGAGCATTCATGGCTGTCAAAATTAGTAATTGAATAAAACGAAGATGCGTTAATTGAAAGAAAGTTGAAACCACAGATTACTCAAATATCATAATCCGTAATACCGGAAACAGTTCTAGATATTAGCAAATTTAGCAGTCTTAAAAGAGTTTACAGTATCATGGCATGAATAATTATGCATAACTAAAATAAAAGAAACTCTAAGGTCTCCAGTTCATTGACAACTTCAGCACTGGATAAGGCAGAAGGGTATTGGCGTAAATGTACTCAAGAATCGGCATTTAACTTTTGAAATAGACCAATTAAAATGTGGAACATCTGTTAGTAAAAAATCAAATTTATATTACCTTAATCCTGAATTAGATGAAAATGGACTGCTTGTGCTGAAAGGTAGACTGCAATTCTCTGAAGTCCAAGAACGACAAAAACACTTGATACTTCCTGACAAGTTTAAATTTGTTAAGCTGTTGATTATGGATACCCATGAGAGGTTATATCAATTTTAGAGTAGCTATCACATTATCACATCTTTGAGAGACATTTTTATCATCAAAGGAAGAAGATGCGTGAAATCTGTTCTAAAAACTTGCATAGTTTGTAAAACATTTAGTGCTACTCCAGGTAAGGAAATAATAGCACCAATACCTAGAGGCAGGATTGTTGAAACTCCACCATTTGAAACAACTGAAATAGATTTTGTGGGACCGATTTATATTCAAACTTCTTCTGGTTCAGAGAAGGTTTATATTTTATTATTAACTTGCGCGGTAATTAGGGTTGTACATCTAGAATTGATAACAAATTTAATCACTGTCGTCTTTATTTTAGCTCATCAAAGGTTCATTGCATGAAGAGGACTTTGTAAAATGATTTACAGTGACAAAGGGATAACCATTTAACAAAACTGATTCAATACTGAAAGAAATTTGGCAGAGCATTTCAAAAGAAGAAGTTCTAGACTATTTTTCAGAAAAAAAATAACATGAAATGTATTGTGCCTACAGCCTTATGGTGGGGCGGATTTTGGATAAGCATGGTTCTCAATGGGAAGACACCACTGTAAAAGATTCTTGGCCAGACTTGTTTTACCTTTGAAGAAATGAAAAGGACATTGACTGAAATTGAAGCAGTTATCAACTCTTGACCATTGTGTTATATCTGTGAACAGCCCTCCGAACAGCCATTAACCCCAGCCCATTTCTTAGTAGGAAAGAGACTAACATCTTTGCTTCATGGATTGGCTTAATCACTGGTTCTGAATCTATCAGAAGAATACATACAAAAAAATTAATATATCGACAGCCATTAAACAATTTTATAAAGGCTGGAGAAATGAATATCTATTAGAACTCCGTTCTGCGTATCGAGTCATTCCAT